GTTCTGGGGAGGTACGAAGGCGTGGTATTTGTTGCAGCAAAATCATGGAAAATTGCATGGAAACGGATTTATTTATTTAGAGCACGAAAAAGACACCGTTGTTTCTTCCAAGAAATGATGACCAGAGAGAGCATGAGACAAGTAGACAACCAATGAAGAACATCTTCTCCTTTGATCTCTTTTAATTTGAGTTTTGTACGACAGATATTCGGGTCCGGATACCCATGCAACATGAGTAGTAGTTGATTACAACAAGATAAGATAATATTAGATTAACACACACATCTGACATCTCAAATGTCATATCCACACCACACCATCATCTTTTAAGTTGAACACAACCCCCAACCCCCAATGGAAGAATTTTCATATTTTCCCGTTTCCCTCCTCTAATGTCTAATCTAATTGATCGTTAATTTTGTCTGTCTCTCTGTCAATAGCTCGAGCCCAACGGACGATGTCGATGACGACGATGACGGCCATAACTGCGCATTCTTCACCCTCGACACGCTCGCCAGCACTCCCAAAGGCGTCACGTCGCCGACCACGGTTACCTTCTTCGTCGCGAAATCTATACTGAATGATGTCACTCCTGCTCTCACAAGCCAGGGAAAAAAGAAAAACAACACCCATCACAGTCGATCAGTCAACTACTTAACACTCTTAATTTACTCTTTCACTTTCAGATCATCAGATTCATCAGATCCCCATCGAATTGCTAATACACACAGCCGCTAGCTGAGCTGAAATCAATTAAACTATTGCCACTGATATATAATTATGTATGTATGTCAATGGTCATTAATTCAGAAAAGAAGTGGGCGTGACATTGCCCAAAATTAGTACAATCTGGGATAGCATTTAGAAATCCTCGTTCTAATCTCCAAAAAAGAAAGAAAGAAAAAAGAAATCCATGTTGTTGTAATTTAACGTAAGATGTTTGAGTGATTTACCTTCCATTCTTGAAATATGTTTCCTCACTTTCCCTTCACAGCCCTTGCAGTGCAATGACACCCTCAAAACCACAACCTGCAAAATCTCATTCAAGCCATCATCATATTGAAGAAGAAGAAGAAGAAGAAGAAGAAGAAGAGAGCGAGGGGGAGACATGGTAAACCTGGTTACGAGAGCGAGCTGAAGAAGAATGCTTTAAGCCAGAAGATTCGTCTGGTTTTACAGGCCGAGGTTTTGTGGGATGGATGGGAACTAATGCCGAGACGGGGTCAAAATCCGACAAGACGTCGAAGAAAGCGGTGTCACTCAAGAGGTATCTGGACGAACCAGGATGGTGGTTGAGATCAGTTGGCTTAGCAGAACTCTTCCTACTCTTTTGATGGTAAGGCTTGGGTTTGGTGGATGGTTGGGAGGAACAAGGAACTAGGCCCATGCTTCTTCTTCCGTCTCTGAGGTGAGGATTGTGGCGATCGATGGCTCGTCCGCCATGGCGAACCATGGACCGTTGATCCATGCTCACGCATATGGCTGTTGAAGCTGGAGAGGCACAGAAGAGATCTATTCCCTTCATCTCTGTAAATGTTCACTGATAACACAGAGTGGAACTAACGGTTTAATGAATCTGCATCTGCTGTAGATGGATAGACGGAGAGAGAGAGAGAGAGAGAAAGTTCCAACTTAGGTCGCGTGAAGTGCTTTTAAGATTGATGGGGAGAGAGAGAGAGAGAGAGAGGCAGTTTAGGCCCACTGCAATTGAAGAAAGGAGAACAGGGGTTTTGAATGTTAATGTTTTTCTTCGACTTTAGCTTTATGCGATAATGTTGCTATTACTACCTCCACAAGTTTGCTTTACAAAATTGGTAGGGGATTTTTCAGAAAGCTACCTTGACCAACTCATCAAAACCCTTTTATATTTCTGCATCTACTTCTACTGAGGCTCTTTGTATTTTCTCATTAGGATTTAGGAGGCGGTGTCTGGATTGGGCCTGCCGTGGTTAAACCAAGTCAGCTATTGGAAACCCCAAATTCCAAACCAGTCCGGATTTAAACCAGCCAACCCAAACCCCAAACGATCAGTATGTTGGTCGACGGGTCAATAATTTCCGGCATTATTTAATTTTATAAACATGGTAGGTAAAAAGAATAAAGGGGGGATGGAATTGGAACCCCATGCTTTGATGCATCATTTTTTTCTTTCTTTTACCATTTCCTTATTCCAAATTCCAACCAATTAATCATCCACCCAAAATAAATTAATAGATGAATAGTTTAAATTGTTGAATATATCATGTTTTAGAAAGTATAGTCATACTTACGCTAGCTAATTAATTACCAAGAAGGTTCGTCGTCAGTGTTCCATTAAAAATAATACAAAACCAACTTATTACTTGGGAGATTGTTTGCTACGTTGTTGGTTGGTTGCAGAGAAAGAAAGATGAAGAAATTATTAGCGCCTTAGAAAGTTTGCAAGGTATTTAAAACAGACGAAGCAGCAGCAGGTAATGTGCTGTACGTGCAATATGTAATTGTGTCTCCTCTCTGGCTCTCTTCACAGTTCATACGGAAGTTGTTATTATTAGCGCCTTAGAAAGTTTAAAGGCAAGCTTGGGATATGAACAGGGTAATGCACGAGCAAGACTGTTGCATGGTCGTCAATTATGACTTTTATTCATTCATTTAATGCTCCTCATAATATTTCAATTAATTTGAGGAGTTCTAATCAACCCCCCACAAGATTGCCCCTCACAACTTTTCACAGCACATCCCTACTGTATATTAAGAATATCTCCTGATGATGATATCAATATTTTTAATATTATCATTAGGAGATGTCTTCAATACATAGCAGGAATATGTTATGGGATGTTGTGGGGGCTGATTTGATGATCTTTTAATTATTTAATACAATAATATCCTTTTTGTTTTTTGTATTTTCAGTCCTTTTAGATATTTTCTCAGTATACAATTGAAAATCAGCTGATGACAACTTTAATTTCTGGTATATATCAGGGATTTTTTTTTTTCTTTTTTTGGCTATCAATGCAAAATGTATATATAACATGATGGATATATCTGGCTTGTAGTTTGATAATGGTCCCACCTAATAAATTGTGCATGTGAAACACCTATTTATTAATTGTATGCATCTACATATATATTTTTATATATGTCCAAAATGTTTTTAAACGGCCTATTCGTGGAAGGTTCTTATGTGAGTGTGTACAGGTACATGTACATGTACATATCAGTTAATCAATTAAACACTTGTAAGTTTGAACAACTAAGTCCAAGTTGTGTGAAAAGGACTTTTAATTTTTACTGCTCTTCTTATTCACCACAGTGAATACTTCTTATATAGCATTATTTTAAATAACGTTGAGAGAATCGAATTGTGCATGGAACCGGAGAAGGGAGTGGTTCATAGGTCAGAGGTTCAATGGAATCGAGATTTGATGATGTGGTATATATATATATATATATATAATATTTTATAAATTTTAATATATTTAAATATGATGTATAGATGATAAGTTCCATAATTTTTAAAATAAATAAATAGGGTTCAAGTCTCTTAATTTGCATTTTCTTTAAAAATTAAAATACATATGTAATAAAGTAATGTATACAAGAAAGAGTCATTAGTTAACACAAGTTAAGAGGTAGTGTAATTGTAATTAAGCAATATATGAAAATAATAGGCCATGAGTTCAAATCTTATTAACCACATTTTAAAATTTAAATTGATTAAAGACCTAGGCGGTTTCATGAAACCGGGACCAGTTCACTAGTTTTCTTATTAAACCGGCAGCTCAGCTAGTTTTCACCAATTTTTTAGCAAAAGTGATTATTGGGGTAAGACCAAATCAACCAAGGTCCCGTGTCACAGTTCAACCCATCCAACCAGCCAGTTTGATCCAGTTTTCTAAACACTGGTTTTAAGGCTTAGACTGGATTAGAAATCAGAATACACCAAAATTGTCATTTAACCAAGACCCGAAAAATGCGCTGATTCCCAAGTTTTTATGGTCTGACCATCCAGTCCAGGTTGGGTGTTAAAACATTGATTTTTAGTAGTAAACATGCGCTAATTTATAAATGAAATAAAAATAAGGAAGGTGAGGAGGAACTCCCTGGCCTGCACCTTGTACAAGAATTAGATGTACAATTCAAATTTGTTTTTGGAAGAGGACAATGGCGTTAATTATTATAGTTGTTCTCAATTTGGTATTGTTAAAAAGGTGTGGTAGGGTTGAATCTTTAGTATGTACCGTAAGAGTGTTGAAGAATAAAACCTATTCCAAGGACCTTTCTTAGTTTAAGTTTAATGATTTATTTGAAATGATGTTAAAAGTTTATTTGAACAAGTGGTCTATTGTTCGACCGTTGAACAAATGGGGTAATCAGATTCTATTCTATTCACACCATGTTTCCCAAACGATTGGTGTGAGTTATCTGAACTTCTTCCAAGTGTTGAAAGGAGTGCCTTGCAATTACCAATTATATTTCTAATTCGCCAAGCAAGTTGTAAATAAACCTTAGACAGGGACTGAATAACCTATAACGAATCCTCCTTTGATGAAATTTGAAGTTGAGAAGTTGAGAAGCGAATTTATTGAACACCATGCAAGAAAGCCCAGTCATATGTTGAGATGGGCTGTTTGATTATAATCTTTCTTGCTCGCAAGTTGCCACACAATATAATTCTAAGTAAAAACCTCTGTTTTATACATGAAACGCAGCTACATCTCTGTTAATTAAATGGTACGGCCTACACATTTAAAAATCCTAATTGCACTTCCCATCGACTAACTAGTCTTTTCTTTTGGAGACAGATTTGGTAGTTGCGACAAAGCAACGGTCATATAGTCAGCTTTAATTAACTACTTTCATATTTTGGTTGGAGATAAATGATGACATGATACGTGGAGCCATCTAATGATGTGGTGACAATTCAGCGGTCTTGGATATCTCAGCAATGGTGATTACTTCAATGATTCACCGACCAATCAAGGTGTCATGTAACCTCCTTATAGAAGTAAGCCAATTGTTTTTAATTTTTTTGAGATTATAGTGTACGTTAACGGGTCTTATTTTCATGACCTTGCTTGATTCGGACAGGCCTGGATGAGCCTTATCAGCTTATTTAGAGTTCATCTTCGGGTGCAAAATTAACTCCGGGTTAGATGTATTGATGATTTTGAACAGACATCGTGAAGCCTACGGCAATTTGCCTATATAAAAACTTCATCTCCAGCCTTACAAGATACATGCATTTTAGCTCTCACATTCTCTTGTTTTCAAGCCATAAGTTTTCTCAAAATCTCCATCACTAACTTAAGCATCAGACTGCCCACTAGGTAAAGCACCCCAAAACACTTTGATTGTCTTGTCTTGCAGCTCGACTGGACTACATCATATCATTAACCCGACGTCCAAACTAATCTCCACCAAAGAACAATCAAATCGCACATCATCAATAACAGAGTCCAATTGTTTAGAAATGATCCATAATCGTGGCTGCCGTACTTCTCCATTCACAAAGTAAAAAACTGAATTTATAGTATTATGTATAATCTCTTCTGCCAAACCTATTTGTGCGCGCTTTTCTATTCTTGAGACAATATAAGACTGGGTGGTTACGATCTTTCCATTTAGTAAGGGAATCCTTTAAAAGTTGACCTATGATGCAACAGTGCTCGATCAGGGTTCAGCTACTGCACCTCATTGATTAGCTAATAATCAATGTAATTGATTACACAATACACACATGGTGGGGTCGCCAAATTTAATATCAATCAAATTATGCAGATAGATTCGCAGAGAACAAATTCCCACTACATAACATACGAAATTCTATTTTGGATGAATGAGACACAAAGCCACTTTCGTCCTTCCATTTATCTCAATTCTCAAAGGTTCTCCCCTCCACAATCTTATCGAATCCGATGCGTTTGACATGCTTTTGCCTTTCTTTCCTTTTCTTTATATCCATTCGTACTTGTCTCAACCATGGCCACTGTCTAATTGATTCTTCTCTCTCTAATACCCACACATACCAAGTTATTCATTATCTTTAGGGCCAACTTTTCTTTTTAACCATTTCTCGTCTATTCAATAAATTTATAACATTTTGTGGGTCTTAATGAAATCATTAGGTTTCAATCATGCGTTTAAAGAGGTGGGGCTCTTCCTGATTAGTGGTAGGATTATGGAGGCCTTCGAGTTCTTATCTTTCTCTTTCTCCTTTTATATTTTTAACTTACCATTCTTCCAATTCTATTGATTGCACCCATTTAGTTCCAAGCTGTGCTTACCTCTTTCTTTTCTCTTTCGTCTCATGAGCCAAATTAAAGTTGGGGCAAAACTCTCTTTTGAATATATATATATATATATAACTTAATTTTAATAAGACTATTACAAGCTAATACAACCATACTCGATAGACATCAATACTTGATGTGATGAGTTGGACTGAATATTGCGAGGTTAGGTGGGGTGTAACTTTTGTGCTTTTCCTTTTTGACAAAAACGACAAATATAAATACATTGTTTGCAAGTACGAGAGTGTTTAAGAGCACTGTTTTCAAAACCGTATCGGATCGGAAAAACCGGAATCGGTCACTTGATTGGTACCATTTTCTTCTAAAACCGCTTTTTCTTTAAAATCATTGATTTTGGTCAATAAATCGCTGAACCAACCGATTAATCGTTCGAATGATTTTTTACTGTTTTTCAATTTTTAATTTTTTTTTATTTTTATTTTTGTCAGAATGGGCCGATTGTTCGAATCGAACAATCGGACCATTTGAACCGATAACCGAACCCCTAACCAGTTCGTTT